AATCGACTTAAAGTGGAGTTGTTAAGGAACAAGTCAACCACAAACTCAAGCTTATTATGGTTGAACAATTGGGAAATGTTTTATACTCTAACATAGTAACATACTTACCCACGTGCAAGCAAGCGTTGTTTTTTTACTCGATCCTTGCACAACAACATTACCCTAGTGCCTCAAAGGCTATCGTCCATTGCACGGTAAGGGTGGTCGGATGTACGCATCCTAACCCTTGTTTTTAAAACATTGCGCGTCTATTTTCAAATGACCCATGATGGATGCTAAAAGTAGCAATGAATAATTGCTACTTCATTAAAAATGAAGTGCAGACAATTTAAAAATCATTTTGTTTTATTACCATACCCTAGAGCCAAAAGGTAGTGAATCCTTGGCTCTATCGGAGATGATAGAAATACTAAAGTCTTGCACGCGAATTTTTACTTCTTAATGCGTGACCTCTAGATCAAGAAGGCTCTCATACCATATTAAGAAACTAACCCAACTACAAGCTTTCCACAAGCTCAAGCTTGTATTTGAACGCTCATGAAATGTTTCACTTGAAAAAAAGTAATGAAAAAGTTGCTTTTTAACCCACCCTTTCATGTATGAGTCGTTCTTTCATGGTTTTAAGGTCCACATTTGAAATATGGACCTTCTCACACTCTTCATGGGCTGGCAAGTAGATATTTTCTTGTTTTCTAAAACGCCCAATTCTTTTGTGATATCAATGCACTAAGGTTCATAAAATGAACACAGACCTTAGGACCACGTAAGAATTTGTCTTCATGCATTCAACAACTTTAGTTGAGTGAGTTGTTTCATTCATTTTAAGCCTTGCCAAATTGGCTATATGGTCAAAATTGTTGAGACAAAAGAAGTCATGGAGTTTCCAATACCTGGAAGATCCCGTCTTGGAGACTTCTGGAAGTAAGTGCAATGACAACCATCCTCAGAAGCGTATGGTGGAAAGAGAATGTCCAAGAAAGCGCAATGAGTGATGGCTTTAAAACAATGAATATTCCCGCCACTAGTTGGGTAGAGAGTTGTTGTACCACACGGAGCAATCATCTCACAATCTCTGACAAGCTTTGCCGGTCTTGCCCCAGAAACCCATTATGATGAACTTGTCACAAACCAATGGTGACAAACTCACAAGTCATTCATCCACTTGGGTGGAAAATTTAATTTGATAAACTCTGTCTGTCTTAGAATAATTTACCCACTTTCCTTTCTAATCTAACCCAAAATAATTTACCCACTTTTTCTATTTTCCTTCTAGGAAAAGAATGTGGTCCAGAACACTTCATACGTTCGAAACAAATTCTAATCACCCATTTTTCACTTTTGTACCTCTTTTCAACATTTTACAACACTTTTCTTAATCTTCGTGAAACCAAATGTATAAGTTATTCTGGGACGGATGGAGCCATCCACTCTTAAGATTCGCTCTAAATCCCAAATTTCTATTATAAATGACACACACCTTGGGATTGGGATAGATGGGAAGGCTCTGGTAGATCTATACAATCGTATGCTTTCACTAATAAAGAACCATAGAGCAGCTTGCTTAACACTGTCATCCCAGGATGGTTATGAAGTGGAATGACAGAGGAAGGAGGCATGCAGAATATTCCTATCTGTTGAAAGCAAGTGTTAAACACATTTCTTGTGACCAAATTAAATCAATTGATCCATAACAAAACCCAGTAAGACTGATTTTATTTCAAACACTTACAGAAAAGCTGTCACACTCGTGTAAATGGAGGTACTTGATAGCTGGTATGGATGGAAGACGCCGCCCATTGGGCACACCCATTGTACCATTCTGAGTCCGTACTAATTGTGCCTCTTGTTCAAGGCCGACATCAGAAGGCTTGAGTTTTTCTGGAGCAAAAAGAGCACTGCAAAAGTTAATACTTTGCAGCAATTAGATGTATTTTAGTGTCTGCAACCCCTGCTTCCATTCTATCCCATGGGTTGGGAAGGTGATAATTTTTTTAGCCTTTTGAAGTTACAAATATGAGGAAATAGATTGACTAACAAACAAATGTATGGACACAAGGCAATTTTCAACTAGCTACAAGGCAAATAAGGCAAGATCAATAAAACACATTCCCATTAAATGTTTCCTATCTTATGCCGAGTAAAACACGCCCATCCCAAACCCCACTCTATGGGATTCTTCTAGGACTTACTCCCTCCATTCCACAATATTTGTCTATTAAAGATTATTAGATACATTAGATTTTGAATGAATGTATGAATGTAGACATAGGTATGTCTACATTCATTCAAAATATAATGCATCTTATAAGCGTTAATAGACATTTATTGTGGAATGGAGGGAGTATTGTTGTAAATAAATAAATAAAAACTTTACAAGTCATGTGTTTGTCTTAAGTGATCAAATTTTCAAATGTGTGAATGATGATTGCCATTGTTTTCAATAGAAACTTAACAAGTTATTGGGTTTTATGAGGATATCACCATGCAGCCATAAATGAATTGCACCCTCCTACCTAATATAGCGCGAACTTTTTCGAGCGCCTCTTCAGAAACAGGCTCATTTGTTGAGAGTAAAGCCTTGCAAGAATTGTAAAGCTTTTGTACAGCTGGCATGCCTAGCAAACCTTACTACAGCAACCACTGGTTATTCACTTTGAATTTGTTTTCTCTATGGATTGTTATAGACACAAGCTATACATCGTCCGAAGGGTCCTCTATTTAGTGAAGACCCTTCAGAGCCGAACTGGGGGAAACGCCTTAAATAAGAAACTGTTCCATTGTATCTTCAGCACTACCTAGTGAACCAAAAAAACACAAATACAAGAGTCAGCAAATCACCCGGCAAACCGAACTCTGAAATGTTTGAACACAAAGAAACATTATTTCTATAATCACAACATCATGCCTATGTTCATTCAAGCCATAGCTTATTCACCTATACAATATTCAAAAACCAAAGGCTACGTACTGCGAAACCATACAATAAATTAAAGTGATTCTCTACACAATAGCATACTCCCTCTTGTCCCACAAAAAGGATCCATGTTTCCATTTTGGCATGTCCCAAAATAACACTCCACTAAATTGTATTGTTCGCGTTATTTCTGCATAAACTTCAACCACACAATTTCAATTTTCTTAAAAACCACGCGGGCCGGCCAATGTGGAACCTCATTGCCTAAATATTGGTAAAAGGGAGTACATATCATTATATCAACCCGCCGAAAACCAAAAAAACAAAAAACGAAAAATGCTCTGAATATGAACATAAGAATAAAATTATAAAGGAAAAATTACCTAAAATAATCCCAACTTTACCCGGTCTTTCAAAAATAATCCCACCTTTCACTGTGATGCATAACAATCCCAACTTTATTGAAATTTGCCAATTTTGGGTCGCCGTTAAGTTTCTAACGGAGGTAGAAAGTAATTTAAAAAATTTAAATGAAAAATTTAAAAAAAATAAAAAAATGAAAATTCATCAAAAATAATCCCAATTGTCTAAAACGGACATTTCTGTTAACCCTTAGTTAAAAACTTAACGGCGACCCAAAATTGTCAAATTTGAGTAAAATTGGGATTATTATGCCCCATTGAAAGGTGGGATTATTTTTGAAAGACGGGGTAAAGTTGGAATTATTTTGGGTAATTTTTCCAATTATAAATTGAGAAAGGAGATGAAAATGGAAATTTATATAATTCGGGGGAAAAAAATAATCGCAAATTCAAACTAACAATAGAATAGTAACAGGAGAAAGTTAATATGTGTAGTAATCGGTGCTAATGAATTGGTCCCCATGGACGAAGAGAGACTGACCTAATCGAAGAACAGCGACGGAGATGGAGACAGATAATAAGGAGAAGCGTGACAATTCTTCTTCTTCTTCTTAGGTCCGACCCGGCGGGGATCCGACCTCCGGGAATGCTTATTTTATTTTCAATTTTACAAAATCATTAGTTACGTACGGGCGAAAGAAAAACGTGTTTTGTTTGCCTCGAAATGCAAATGCAAAGTACCGTCTCCCTTTTGTCAGACTTTTTGTTTGGTCCGTCGGTCCGCCCATACAAATTTTATCCGATTCCCATCTTAAACTATAATCAATTTCTTTATCTACTTCTTTTAGTTATTGATAAAATATTATAGTCTCGTCATTTTTATTTTATAAAACTTTTGATATAGTTTTTATATATATAAATTTTTTTTATTTTACACCTACAATCAAATAACTTGAACTGAAAGTAAAGACGGTCAAACCTTGTTAGCAAAAACAGAAAGAACATTTTAAGGTGGAGTGAGTAATTTTTAAAAATTTATAGCTACTCCATCCGTCCTAAAATGTTCTTCCCACTCACTTTTTACTCGGTCAAACTTTAATCATTTTTTTTACCTATTTTCATTAGGTATTTGATAAAATAATATAGTCTTGTCACCACTTATTTTGTAGAAATTTTGATGTAGTTTTTAAATATATAAATTTTATTTTTTAATTTTACACCTACAATCAAATAAATTGAATTGAAAATAAAGTCGGTCAAACCTCGTAAAATAAATCGGGAAGATCATTATTCATCATAGGACGGAGAGAGTATTTTTCTGTGCTTGTAAACTAGTCAAACTTTTCCTCGCAATTTAGGAATATTTACAAATTACATATTTCTCATTTATATCATAATATTTCCATAAAAAATATGTAACCCATAAATAACTTATAAGTTAAAAATTAATTATCAATAATAATAAATGAGTAAAGACCAAGTCACTAAAACAACAAAACACGTCCTTTATACTCTCTCCGTCCTGAAATGTTCTTCCCACTTACTATTCACACGGTCAAACTTTAATCATTTTCTTTACGTATTTTCATTAGGTATTTGATAAAATAATATAGTCTTGTTATTACTTATTTTGTAGAACTTTTGATGTAGTTTTAAATATATAAATTTTATTTTTTAATTTTACACTTACAATCAAATAAATTAAATTAAAAATAAAGTCAATCAAACTTCATAAACAGAACCGGGAAGATCATTATAAGACAAAGGGAGTATTATACTCGGAAACATTATCTATATGATCTTTACATAATAGAGTAAAATTGTACTATTCCGTAAACAAAATGATGATTAAAAAAAGGTCGACTCCACTATAAATATCATTCCGCATGACCCGGCGCAATAAGTGGGGGCCACGTGACAAGAAATTTCATTATTTCTTTTTTTTTTAAAATCCTACAGTGAGTAAAGATGCCGTCCATGTCGCTTTCGCCTTTCACCCCGTCCCGGCGGCTAAGCACGGCGTTTCAAATGTTGCACGGCGGAACACCACCGAGCACTCCGGCAGCTCGCCGAGATCCCCGAACAAGGGCTGGTCCTCTTCCCCGACGGGCAACATGAGCGCGACGTCAGCATCGCGCCACAGAACGGACCCCGCCGCCGGGATCTCCACGAAACGGGACCCCACGTCGGGGAACCACCCCAGATCGCCGGCGATCTCCCTGAAGCAGTCGATCTCCGGGTCTGGGTCCGCGAAGATGTGCAGATCCGGTGAGGGAGGGGGGACGGGGTCAGAGGCGGGGACGGTGGCAACGGCGGTGGTATGGTGGTGGGTTTTGGTCGGCGGCGGGTGGTTGTGGGTGGAGGAGTAGGTGAGGAGGATCGTGGTGGGGTCCAGCCGGCTCCGCTCCACTTGTTTTCTTGCCGGACAGCCTTTTGAGCTACTACATCGATAATATCCCCTGCATAAAATCAATGATTAATTATTTTTTTTACTTTCCAAAAAAAATACTGACTAATTGTTTTTATTAATTACTCCGTTGAATTTAATGGACAATCTAAACCTGTCTAGTTGCATGAAAAAGTCAAAATTGCATTAACAAGCAAGTTGAGTATAAATTGCCTTTGGGTGTATGACACTAAGGAGCTGTTTGTTTCAGCCTTTTAAAGGTTCAGATGTCTGAATGGTTCAGCACTTAATAGTTCAGACTGTTTGTTTCTGCCTCTTAATGGTTCAGATGTCTGAATGGTTAAGAGATTTGTCTCTGAATGATTAAGTATTATACATAATCTGAATGGTTAAGACCTCTTATCTGAATTGATCAGACATTTGCCTCTGAATAGTTAAGCAATATATTAGCTCTTAATGGTTCAGACTTCTTACTAGTTCCGCACTTAATGGTTCAGACCTCTTACTGGTTAAGCACTTACCTATTCAAAAGTTGCAAAACAGACCCTAAAATATCTCAAAGGTAATACTTCCTTATCTCAATTTAGATTAGACAATTCAAAAAAATATGCAACATTTTTTATTCTTTAAATTTAACTTATTATAAATTATAATAAAAAATGTAACTTACATATCTAAAAATTATATTAAAAAATTTACAAAAATAAGTAGGGCCAATAATGTTAAATTTTGTCAAATGATCAATACAAAATTAAAATAAATAAAAGTTATCAGATAGTAAATATGTATTTTGACATATGCCTTTCCATAACATGCCTTAAAAAGAAAAAAATTTATAGAGGATACAATCTCTCCATTAAAATGTGTATCTCTCCATTAAAATTATGGAAAATGACTAAATTAGTAGTAAAAAATAGAAGAAAATCAAAATGAGAATTTCATATTTTTTTATCCCTAAAATCAAAATACAATGTCAATAATACTAATATATTTTACCAAAAAATATAGTACGATGCCACTATACAAAAACATAATATCAGAATGTAAGATCTTATTTTAGAGATAAAAACATGAAACTCTTATTTTGATAATAGATACGAGTATTAAATTTTACTCTAATTTGAAGTGATTTTCTTTAAAATTAAAGAGTCGAGCACGCTAATTCTCACGCTAATTGGTGTCTCGATGCATACAAGACTTGTGGATGTATAAAGCAGAAAACATAGATAATATATACTTTTCCGTCTCCAAATAGATTACATTGTCCATTTAACGTGTAAAATCTCGTGATTTGTAAAATAATTTTATTTATAAATTTGTATAAATATAAAAAATAAAAAATAAATATATTTAAAAACTACATCAAACTTTATATAAAACAAGGGGTGACAAAAATAGTTTTTTTATCAAATAATCTATAAAAAATATGTAATAAATAAAAATTATCAAGAGACCGCAATAGTAAATAGGTGAATCATTTTGAGACGGATGGCATACTTTCAAATAGGTTTGACCAAGATGCCCATTGGGTCGAGTCTGAGGTACATTTGAGTCGGATTCAGATTAGAATACTCATGTTCAAAAGGTCATTGATTCATGTCGACCCAACATATTATAAATTTTATTTATAAAATATTAAAATTTATGACAACACTCTTGTTTTGCATTAAAATATCATAAATATAATTAATTACGGAGTATATCAATTCATTTTTTGGCATTTTTTATAATTTTGTATATACTCCCTCTGTCCCTAAAAGATTATTACATTTTGACTTTTTTGTTTAAATTGTGACATTTTTGGTCAAAAATTAAATAATTAAATATTACTACTATATGACAAATAAAAAATGTAACTTTGAAGTTAAAAATATGGAGTAACACATTTTTTTGTGCAACTAAAAACTAATTAAAGTGACTTAGAACAAATAAATTTATACATTGTATTAATGTATTACATACACCCGTTGCGTAAAAAATGAAATTTAAAATAAAAAACAATGAATGAAAACCCTTAAAGAATGGAAATTAAAATAAAAAAATTGAAATACAAAATTGTTTTCTTACTTCAATGTAATTTCATACTCCGTATTAGTTATTTCTTAATAAGAAAATTCATCTTTTTATTTCTTTAGGGTTTTAATAAGATTTTATGTTTTATTTTTTTTATTTCGATCATATTATACCAACATGAAGAAATAATACATTAATACTCTATATAGTGCTTAAAACATTAAAACGCATCACTCCATATATTTTTAGTTTTATTTATTATCAGTTTAATTTTAGTCTTTATCGATTATCTTTTTATTTCATTAATTTTGTATGATTTTTATTATTATTATTTTCATTTTTGTTATTTCTTATATATCAATTTTGTTAATTATTTTCTGTTATAAGACTCACCTTTAAAAGAAGAAGAAAATGGAGGTTCAATGTTATTTAAAAAATTAAGGGAAAATATTTCAAAAAAAATTTATAAAAAATAATCTCAACTTTCATGTTGTTGCGCGAAACAAAACATTTTAGTTAAAAGCATTTCTATTAAACAACCATTAGAAGCCTAAAGGTAATCTAAGACTTGCAAATTTTAATAAAGTTTAGATTTTTGTGTATCACAATATAATACTCCCTCCGTCCCTTATAGATCTTCTCAATAACCCTTTTTCTTTGTCCACAATAGATCTTCTCATTTCATTTTTTAACAATTAAAATACCACAACTACCCCCAATTACTTTATTTATTACACCTCACCCACCTCATTTAATACACTCCACCCATTTTCAACTCTCCTTAAAAACCATCAAAAACCAAAATGAGAACATCTTAGGGGGACGGAAGGAGTACTCCGTATGTGATTATGTTTTAAAACCATATTAGTTAGGATTATTTTAAATAATTCTTTCTAATCTTAATTGCATTATGTGGATTATCTCATGTTGTACGTGTAAAAAAAAGACCACAGCCCACGGATTGGCCACCCAACCAATCACCACACCCATTTAATGCATCACATGGGCCCCATTCACATTAGTGGCCCGGCCCGTCGGGCAACTAAAATCTAAATGAGCTGATAGACATTAAAGACAATTCATGGCCACTTAATACTTTTTCCGCCCTTCTTAAATATACCCACCACTCCTTCAACGAAAAAAAAAATTTTTGGATAGTTTTTTTAGGAAGGTCTCATTTGGCATCAACGTTAAAAGATATGATTGCGGTAACATTTTGAATAGGTTATCTAATGGTAGCATTTAGTGTTAGTCACAATTAATTTATGTCGTTAAAATTTTATCCAAAACGATAACAGTAACTTAAAACATTCTTTCCAAACTAAGCAGAGGAAAAAATATAAAAAAAGAAAATTTTGGATGAAGAAAATGAAATTATTTTTCCTCATCTTGTTTGGATATTTTAAGGAGCAATGAAATTATGTTTCCTAATTTAAGTAAACTAACTTCTCTAGGTTCAAACCAATGTAGCGATGCACTTTAACGACTTCGTTTTTTTTTTTAATTTCAAAAAAACAATGGAAAAACAAAACAAAAAAAATTAAATCTCTTAAAACCATCCTCGGAAAAAAAATGTGCATAAAATGGAAAGAACAAATTATTACCTGGGATAAGGGGAGCCTTTAATGGGTTTTTGGCCGTACTTCCGCCACGACCAAGAATCCGGCGGCGGGTAGACTTCCGCTTTACTCCGTGATCCGTCGCCGCCTACCGTCGGCACCGAAACAACCCTCTTCTCCCCTCCTTTCCTGCTAATTACGTACCGAGTACTATATTCATAATTCATAGATGCAATTAATTCCTAGCCAAATTTCCTTACTGCTTAAATAAGCATTTATTCATATTTTTTAATAAAAAATAATTTTTTTATGTAAGAAGATCTACAAAAATTATATGCATCCTAGGTGCATCAAAGAATCACTCTAATTTCTGATGCGGTTTTGAAATTTAATCTAACAATTTAGCATTTTGAAGAATGTTATCGTTACAAAAATATTTAACTTTAACGTTTCCAAAATTGATATGTACCGCAAAACATAAAAATTAACTTTTACGTCAAAGATTCGATAACATAAAAAATGACAATTAAGTTCATACGGAGTATTATTTTATCAAATGAGTAATCAAAATAAAAAAATTAAATATTTTAAGTGTTATTTAGGGAAATAATTTAAGTTTTAGTGCTATTTATTGCAAATATTTCTAAATTTATTTCTAAATTTCCTACACAATTAAGTAAAAAATAAAAATAATTTAATTCAAGTTTTATTATACCCCATTTATTTACTTCCTAGCTAGGAGGGAGTATTAATTTTTGGATTGCTTTTTTTTTCTTGTGTTAATAATAACTGATTTTTAAAAAAACTCTTTGAATTAAATTGTACGGAGGAGAGTTACTTTCATAAGCGAAAAATTAATTAAATCTTAAAAAGTTAGTTAGAAAAAGTACGGAGGAAGTAATTAAGTAGCGAACCTTTTTCTAGGCGGCGATGGGGTGCTAACGTCGGCGGCTTCGTCGCCAGACAGCGGGGACGCTGTAAAATTCTCCGGCGACATGCCGGCCAAGTGTTCTTCTTTTTGCTTGTGATGGCGAAGCCTAGTTTCCATATAAATGTGATCCCGGAAATTAAAAGCCCTTACTAAAATATGAGCTAAGATATGTGTAAATAAATACGGATTATATATATAAATAATTATTGATGAATATATATATATATATAATTCTAAGGAATTATATATCCATGGCAAGTGGTAGAAGACATGCATATAATGAAAGGGCAGGTTTGGGAATTTTATATCCTAATTTTTATTATTATGAAAATATAATTAAATATGTGCAGTAGCATGCGGACAAGTCGCCGGAAAAGGCGGCGGCGGAGGGGCGGCGGAGGAGAGAGTGGTTGGGGGTGGGGAGGTGGTGGTGGAGCAGTTTTTGGGGGCCTTTTTAGGCTTTTAATATTTGGAGTTGGACAAGTTGACAGGCTGGCAAAACTTTCGTTTCATGTGGACGTGCAAGCATTTCTTAAGATAATAATGTTGCATACTTCTATAATTAAAGAGCCATTTGTTAAATAAAAAAAGACTTCTCATTTAATGTAAATAGTGAAAACTATAGAAAGAGTTACGCGGCAAATTCTATAGTGGACTATGGCCCCGTTTGGCATCAGCGTCAGAGATTAGCGTTAGCGTTTTGAAAAAGCCGACGGTAGCCTTTAGCGTTAACGTTTTCAGAATTAATCTGCACCGTTAAAATTTTATCCAAAACGCTGTTACCAAACAAAGCCTATATAAATAAGTATATCTTTTTTTCTTTAAAAATAAAAAATAGATTTTTTATGTAAGAAAATTCACAAAAATAGTATTCATCCGAGGTGCACCATATAAGCATTCTATGCATAAATTAATCCAGCCCGCCAAAGGCCCTGTTGTCCAACGATATGAAAGTGACTCTTCTCACAAATGAGAGATCACAAATTCAATTCCATCTGGGTAATAACTCTACTGCTTAATGAGTTGAAAATGTATAAATTAGAGCTGACAAATTGATCGATTAAGTCTTGTTTGAGTTCGGTCACTTAAGATCTGGGTTATTTCGGGTCTAAATTAGTTCAGGTTCAGATTGAGAACTACATGATCATAACCTAGTGTCATCAGGATCAGGTCAACCCAATGTGTTAGTACCTTTATCTAGTTTTTGAAAATTTAAGAAATTGCTGGGATCCATTGTCAATATTATGAATAAGAAAAAACTAAATTTGCCAAAAATTGGGGAAAAAATAACTTATCTTTGCGATAATGCTAAAATTTTGTATGAAATTATAAATTTATATGCTAAAAACTTGTAAGAAAAGAAATGTACCTATAATGCTATTTTCGTAGCATTATATTTAATATTAAAGTATATGATTTTGAAGAATTCATACATTAGCAAGTCGACCATGTCGCGTTTGGGTCTGATCAACAAAACCTTTATTCAAAATCTAGTATTCTCGGGTCAGATTTTGAGTAAACAACAACAACAACAATAATAACCATTTTAATCACTATTATTATTAATTACTATTACCATTATTATTAAGTACAATCATATTAAATTATTATTTTTTGAATTATTATTATTAGTTATAATTCTTATTAATTATAACTATTATTGTGATTTAATAATGATGATAAAATTAGTCACTAATATTATTATTGTATTTATTAATATTATTATTAAATATTTTTATTATTAAGTACAATGATAATAAATTATTATTATTATTCATTGTTTTTATTATTATTACTACTAATAAAATATACTATTGTTATTGTTGGAATTCTTATTATTATTATTTTAAAATTATATATATTTTTAAATAATTTTCTAATCCAAATGGATCTGAATGCATTTGATATGAACTGATCTGAAGGAATCTAATCTGGTCTGATTTGAATGGATTTAATCTGATCTGATTTTAATAAGAATAAACAATAAGTAGTTAAATAAGATGAAGAGAACGGACCTCTGTTTACAATTTTATTTCCTTAATAATTTTTGTTAAATAAATAAATATATAATAATAATAATAATAATAATATAGTGACCTGATTAAGCTTTTAAAAATATTTCATTAACTTTGACCTTGTAATTAAGTATTTTTTGAATAAAAAAAGTAATCATGTACAGAGTAAAACAAAATTTATAAATTTTAAAGGTGTCGGAACATATATTTAAATTGGGGGAGAACTATATGAAAAAAACAATGATTTTATAAGGATGACTCGATAAATTAGATAGACCAAAAATAAAATATACTAATTTTAAAATAACCAAAAATATATTTAAACATTTTTATTTACATAGTAGGAGTACTAAATTTTGCATTGGGACCACGCGTTTAAGTAAACTTGTGACCGGAAATATTAATTAAAAATTTCAACTTGGATTGAGATATAAATGAAGTTATCACAATCTAGAATGGGTAAAACCCTTGGCCTTTTAGGTTGTTGCCTGTTGGTTTACTATTGATTACGGAAGAGTATGATACTTCTCTATGCAAAAATAATATTTCGGCCTTGACTTTTTAAACATAAATTAAAGAAAAATAAAAAAATATTTTAACTTTTCATATTTATCTCGGAATCATTGCAAAATGTGAAATAAAGTTTAGATATAGATAGTAATTAATGGATAAAGGTGAGAATAATAATGTGGTTTAATAAAAAAACATTTGTCAAAAAAGAAATGAGTAGATAATGTATGAGACGGACAAATAAGAAAATTGAAAAGAAAAATTATGGAGAGAGGGAGTATTGAACATTGTGACTTGTGAGCAATCAAAACAAAAAGTCAAAAATAAAGTACAAGGTTCAAAAAGATTGGAGTGGAAGAAGATCCTGTGGAATTAAATCCAAATAATGCTTGGTTCAAAAAAACAAAAATTAATTTAAAAAGACAACAGAAATTAATATTCCAAAGTACAAGGTTAAACTAATTTCTTTTCTTTACATATTTTTATCTATCACTTAATTATAAAAATCCCAGAGCATAAAATTTTATTTTGTTAGAGTATTATTGAGTGCGACTCTTGGGTTGACTTGTTCAAAAATGACCACTCGAGCTTACAATATTATCCTTTATCAAATCATCCTGACACCTTTTGATATTCACATCAGAGTGAAAATAATGACACTTGATAATTCAAATAATTTTTTTAAAATAAAAAATTAGCTTCAGAACTCGTTAGATACTTTTTTCAAAATGTTAAAATTATTAGCACACAGTCAAAGAATTCTATGTGGATTGGAATATTAAAAAAATATTAGAAATGAGTGGAAAAGGCTGGACTAGGATTAAAATCCTCAAGGCACTTAAGAGCAAAACATAAACACAATAAGATACTAAAAGCTTTTAATCATCTCATGGTAAATTATCAATCCATAAGCAAAACTTTGCTAACTCAAAAAAAAACAAAACACAAATTGTTGGTCCACGAAGCCACTTGAAGAGAGAAGACAGCAAAGTAGAAAAGACATCCCCTAAGATGGAAGGTTGGAGGACTTGTTAAGGATGACACCTTCATACTTGACTTGGAACCACTTCATGGCATCTTCCTTGGTGACTCTGTGTTGGATCCCGACACGGGCCTTGCACCTTCTTCGCCGTGCAACTCGGAAACCAGGCCGTTCCAAGACAACATAGAAATCCATGCCATAAATACCAGTTGATGGGTCATACCTGTGAGATGTTTAAGAAAGTTAAAGAAAAACAATTAAGGACTTGTTCTCTTTAACTTGCCTTATTCATTCTGATCCGATTCGATTAAGTTTTGACTTGATATGATATGATTGTAGTTAAATTTAAAGTGTTTTTTATCTGATCTGATTCCAATAAGAAAAAGTAATATTTTGAGGTTTGGTTTAAAGGTACAGCTAATTTGCCCAAATGACTTCTAAACTGGCACCAAGTCCATCAAAATGCTATATTTGTGACTTTTTTTGACAAATGAATATATAAATCACCTGAAACCCTGCTTTCAAACTACATGAAGTCAAACAAATTGACATACAGAAGTTCAATTTTTTCGCAAAACTTGAATTGGCAAAGACTTACTTGATTCCAAGATCAATGTGCTCCTGAATACCAAAACCAAAGCAACCGGTATCACTGAAGTTTCTCCTGAGCAGCTCATATTCCTTCACTTTCAATCCACTCTCAAGGAGTTGCATTGCTTTATCACCCCGGACAGTGACATAGCAAGCAATCTTTTCATTACGCCTGATGCCAAAGGACCTCACAGTGTACCTAGCTGTTAAGACAAACCCGTAACACCATGAAATGAATAAAACTAAACAACAACAACAACAAAGCCTTATCTCACTAGGTGGGGTTGGCTACATGGATCAAACTAAACAAGCAAAAAGGAAACTCATGGCGATAAGATCAAAAGGAATGTAAGAGAGACAAGCCCTGGACATACTTGGTTTCTGAGTTTACACTAAAAGTGACATATTATCAAACATATGACACATCCATCAATCTATCTATAGTCTTTTGGGATTATATAAAAAGAACTTTTCCCACTGTTTATTGGAGTGATATTAATCGTATTTATAAGCATGAACAAAGACTGATCATTGAAACAAAAAATAATAAAACTCAGATTAACTATCAAATGGAAATTCCAATGCCTTATTGGTGCCCAACACTTCAAAAATTCATTATGGATATTCAGTGCTTCAAATTTCAATAAGCATCTTTTTGTTTCACCAAAACCAAAGTACACAACAAACCACTTACAAAGTATTCCCCACTGACCAGTATGTTCAGTACAACTAGAACTATACTAAGAAAGAGACATGATCAATTTTCAATACCAAAACATTAAACAAAATACAACAGGAACTAAGTGTAAAGCCCACCGTGAATGTTTTACAATATGTTTTGTTCAAGAAATTAGGAACGAAAATAAAATGATTTCTCTCCTTTTCCTTGACAAAATGGAAAGAATCTTGTTTTCCATTGTCTAAACTTATTTTTTCATCTCATTGTTTCCTTCTGCTTTTCCTCCCTAACCAAACATGAAAAATAGTTTTCCATTTCATTTTCTTTTATTTTCCCTCTCAAATTCCTAGAACCAAACAAAGTGTTAATTTTCCAGATGAAAAATAAAGGAACAGATAATGTTAAAACAAAGCATGTGAAAGAACCCATCAGTTGGAAACAATATAACAAATCATACCCTTAGAGAAAACAGGGGTTTGGCCACTGAGCTGTTCCAACACCTACACAGACCAAAATGGCATAATTCGAACGCATATCTGAAAGCAATAAAACGAAGACGGAAAATGGAGATCTCCAGTACCTTCGCGGCCCTGGTGAGACGATCTCCGCTTTCTCCGACGGAGATGTTCAGGACGAGCTTCTGGACCTTTATCTCCCTCATTGGGTTGCTCAACTTCTTCTCTGCTGCCTGCGTTCGTGATACAGAACAAGAAACGCCATTGTTAGAGACATGTGCGTATAAGGAAATAAAGGGCGAGAGAAAATGCTTAGAGATACCATGGCTCCGGAGGTTTTCGCAGTGGGAGAGGCAGCGGCGGGTCGAAGAAGGGAGGAAGAAGAAGAAGAAGCCGATTTAAACCGCTTAGGGCTTTTCTGATTTTATCTGTGGATTTTATAATTGGGCTTTTTCTTTTGTACTACTACAACTTTTATAACGGGCCGTTAGCTTTAACTCCAAATATGTGTGGTTATCAATAGTTTCCTTTTCGTGTTATGACCTATAATTGGGCCCAATCTTTTTGTATGTGAACCGGACAATATTTTTCTTTTGTCTATGACCGAATTGGGCCGAATACGTCGATGAAAGAGACCATCAGAAAAAATGATTATATTCATCAATGGATATCTTGAATATTTCAAAATATTCGAATAGTATAAATAAAAAAATAAATATACCCTAATAGTCTAATACACCCTAGTTATTTGTATTTGTTGGATTAAATATAAAAAGTTCTCCCAAACAAATCCTAATCTTCTCCTATTTTAAAAAACATTAATCTTATTGTTTTTCTCAAAACTTCAAAATTCCACATGTCACCTCATCTATCGTCATTCACTTCTTTAGCCAAGCTTCCAGACTCTACAGCCTAAAATTATGTGTGTTTTGTTGTTGGCCTTTATGCTGTTTGGTTTCTGTCATGTGTTGTTATTGGATGATTGAAATATTTTATCCGAATATGAGATTGTTTTGTTCTAATTTTTGGGACATGTTGCTCATAAAATTTGTATCAATTTAGGTAGCATTTTAAATGTGTTATGATGAATTTGTCAATTTTCGTAGTTTATAAAAAAATAACTTACAATATCTAGAAAATGTCTTTAAAAATTCTTTTTACTATTTTCGAATACTAATTCGAATATATCAAATATGCTATTAAATCAAATACAAATATTTTTTAAAATTCAAATTATAAATGAATGCGAATTCGAATAGATATCATTTTGAACGAATATGAATCGAATATCTAGATATTTGGTTCGATTCGATTTGTACACACCTATACGTGCAAGGGTGTGAGGAAATCCTTTCAATATGTGTCACCTTCGTCATATTGGCGCGACACATGTTGCGGTAAACTTTAGTCAATATCGTTACACTGATAACGCGATTATACACCGTCTACGCGAGGTCAAAAAACAAATCAAACAAGTATAAGATTGCCTTATTACCTTTCGTGCTAGCAAACAAGCCACTACCATCAACTTAAACACAATTGCACACACAAAATGCATGAAATTCACCTCAACACTTGCACCAATCAACTCCTTTGCATTTGACATTTTGATCCGCGATACAATCGAATCCTCCATGACAGCGAGCAGATTTAAACCCCATCGTTTCATTGCACATCTCCATCCACTAGTGTTTCGTCATCTCACCATCGTTTCACACCAACTATGAGGGGTCCATTTACGAATAGTCTATGTAAGGCCTCCACGTTTTGTAGCGTAATGATAACATTTTCTAAATTAAAATATAAAGCACGAGTTTTAGTCTGCCTCCTCTCAACTAATGCAGTAATCAAAGGTTTCTTGTATGACATACAAACTCTATGAGAACGGAAAAATCCGCACTCTCACTAAATTTCATCAAAAGTTGAATGTCAATCCATTGCGTAAGTTTCTATAAAATTTAATTACAAATTTACAAATTAAAACGAAATTCACATTCTCTACTTCTCATGACATTACCTCACTCCTATTTCATTATATCTTAAAATTAATACATCTCGTTCCATGAAATACATACTTTTATACAAAAATGAGATCTCATGTATATAATATCAAATACCGAGTAACAAAAATATTGAGCTATTTATAACAAAAATCACACATATTATAATTGCGACATTATAATTTATTACCTAGCATTAACACAAATTTTGAGATAATAAATTCAAAATCTAATAGGAAAATTTTAATACATTGTTGTTTACATTTTTTTTAAATACTAATAATGCTATTACAATGTAAAATCTATTCATATACTTTCAATCTATTTAAGGAGATAGAATTATGGTCTCCTTTGTACTCACTATAGTTTATGCAGGGGGTGAGCATTTTACCTGAACTGACCGTTGAACTGATGTTAAAAAAATGAACTGATCAAAAGTTTGATTTTCGGTTTTGGTTATTAGGAAAAAAAGTTGGTTAATTCGGTTAATCGGTCGGTTTTGGATTTTGGGCCGATAGAAAAACCGAGTCCAAATCATTGTCCTTAGATGACCGGCCCAAAATATTATTCCCAAATCATATTTTATTTTTCTTTTGAAAAAAGCCCAAAATTCCAAATGAGATGATGGCGGAGACTGCTGCCGCCTAGAGAGGTCAATGGTGCGAACCCGGTCATCCCTACCGCTGCTGCAACTGAGGACTCCGCCGACCACTCGACCAGGGACAAGATCTCTACTTCGCGTCCACCGGACCACCACGCCGGCGACGGTATTGTCTTTTAGAGATGTTTTTGTTGTTGTAGGCGATCTCCCAAGTTCCCAGTCTCTGCTTCAGTTGGTTCGTCGGTTCGTTCGGCTATCTGCTTCCTTTGTTCTATTATTCAATCTCAGGAGAATCACGAGCGCCGACCTTGTATTTTAATCCTTCCATCTCAGGTTAGATTTGATGCTTGCCGGTAATTCTCAATTTCAAAATTCAGTTCATCATTTTAGCTACTCGCGAGTATTTAACGATTTCCACATCCATAGGCTTTTACCCGGTACTGTGCATTCGATCAATTTTGCGGTTGATGTTTAAATGTGTCTGTTAAATGCTATAATATTGGTTTTCTTGATTTGTGTTAGATTAATCAATCGCTTTCTTTTGCCCACTTCAATGGATTAACTGATCACCCATCCATTATTTTTTTTTGTATTAATCATATGGAAAGATACTCTCAGTGATTCATTCAAGTCCACACTCTTATGAAGTTAGCTTTACTTCTACAGTTCTACAAGCAGCAATGACAAGTGCTGAACATGCAAATTTCATCTTTGAATGTGTTAAGATATACTACATGTTCCATTGAAGGGTTCCACATTTGAGCCCACTTGTTCATTAAAAAAGTTAAATTTCATGGTTGAGATTTTTGTCGAGCCTCACAATTCTTTCCTTAAAAAGAAATTGAGACCTTAAGGACTTGAAAGGAAAGTTTGAACCTTTTTTGTGCGACAGAGGGAGTGAGTACATTTCAACTTGTAAATAGTAATAGCTAGCCATATTGTTTAGCCTAGCACTACTAAGAAATGTTGAGTTACCTCTGCACGTAATGTATATTTTTTCGCGCCGCTGGTTTCCAATGAAAGTGAATTTATTTCTATTCCCGATGGACGCACTGTGCTCTGGTAATCCACTGACTGATTTAGAAAGCGAAAAAGAGTTGTAAAGGTGAAAAGTGAGAGTTTTATCCTACAAATAGGCACAATTATCTCATTCCAACCTTCAATGGCAAATTTATTACATCTGTATAGCAGATTGCGTTAATGTAATGATATCTTGATGTTTGCTAGCTTGATATCTTGAAGCCAATTCATAGATTTGGCATAAAAGGGATAGTAATGAAACCTCTATTGTCTTCTTTACTAGTTACATCACAATGGTATGTTCTGCTTGAGAGATTTAAAGTAAAAATAAATATTTCGTAGAAGAAAGTCTACAAGTTTCTGGTGTAGAGTCATTATGTTTGAATCACTATTACATATTTTAAGGATACTGTATTTGATTTTTTTTGTATAGTGTATTCCAACTAAACTTAATGATATCTCTAGTTAATTTGCTACTCAAATGCATCTTTCTCTTAATGGTGCTTATGAGATTTCTTGGATTTGGCATTTTTACTTTTGTTCTACTTTCATGTTTTATAAATGTAGATTGTGATGACACAAGGAAAGTTCACTTGATTTTGTTCGGTGTGTTATAAGTTGGGGTTGATGTGGAGAAATAAGAGTGCACTATCAACAAAGTTTTTAAATGTAAGTGTAGCAAACTTTTGTAAATCCAAACAACTGGAGAAAGCGGAAGAATTAATAATTGATGGTATAAGGGTTGGAGTACAGCTGGATGTGGTAACCTATAACACTCTGATAGCAGCATATTGTCAGTTTTACGGGATCAATGAAGGTTATTCTATCCTTCATAGAATGCAAGAATCTGGGATTCGACCAGATGTCATAACATATAATTCATTGATATCTGGTGCAGCCAGAAATGGCTTGTTATCCCGTTGCATAGCTCTGTTTGGTGAAATGCTTGCATCAGACATTTTTCCAGACATTTGGAGTTACAACACATTGATGCATTGTTATTTTAAATCTGGAAAACCACACGAGGGCTACAGGATATTCAGGGACATTCTTTTAAAGGGCATCCCACCAGGTCCGGCAACATTTAACATCCTAATGAACGGTCTTTGCACAAATGGATACACAAAGAACGCCATGAAGCTCTTCAGGAACTTGAAACAACAGGGTTTCGTACCTCAGCTGGTAACATACAACATCCTTATGAATGGGATTTGCAAGTTGGGCTGGCCTGCATCTGCCAGAACGCTTCTGAAAGAACTTGTGGATATGGGCCATACCCCTAATTCTGTCACGTATACCACAATAATGAAATGTTTTTTTAGTTCAAGACGTTATGGAGAAGGGCTTCAAATCCTTAAAGACATGAGAAGCAAAGGGTATGTGTTTGACTCACACGGATATTGTACAGTGATTAGTTGCTTGCTTAAGGCGGGTAAGACAGAGGAAGCTCTTGAATGTGTGGATAATATGGTTAGTTATGAGATTGATCTTGATATGGTGACTTATAACAATATTATTAATCTTTATTGTAAGAACGGAAAAATGGAAGATGCCTTCTTTTTGGTGAAAGATGCAGAGAGAAGAGGGTTGGAGTGTGACATATACACACATACTATTTTGATAGATGGGATGTGTAAGGCTGGAGATATAGAAGGGGCACTTAAACACTTGGACCATATGAACAAGCTGGGAATTGTACCGAACTTGGTTGCTTTCAATTGCTTTATTGATGGGCTGTGCAAAGCTGGTCACATTGACAATGCATTGGAAGTGTTTAATTCAATGGCCGAGAAGGATGGTTTTACATATTCATCAATGCTGAACGGTCTTTGCAAGTCTAAGAGATTTCGTGAAGCTTCTGAGCTGTTGCTTTCTTGTGGTAGCAGAGGTGTGGAAATTCTAAAATCTGATAAAGAAGCAGTTATCAACGGCCTTTGTCGTTCTGGCCTAAGACATGAAGCAAAAAAGATACAGTAAAAAAGCCATGTGGCAAAGACATTGCATTGCCTATGAGGTGATCGTGTCCTACTGCATTTTATCATTCCAAACTGCAAACCACTCTTATGGATAGCCATTATCACAAAACTAGCGGAATTTTTCAGAGAAAACGTACGTTTCAGTACATCAGAGGTGGATCTCCAATTCTCCACTCTACCGGCAATGGAGGTGAATTTTTTTTCTCCCCTGCCTTGAAAAGGGAGTCTTGTTTAGTCAATGTGCAGCTTTAGTACTTTTGACAATGTATAGCTGTTAAAAGTGAAAAGTGGGTCATTGAAAATTTATATACTAGACAGAAATGTTATGAGCAGCATATTTCTTTCTTATTGAGGGAATGCGAGAAGTGTAAAATTTGTTTTGGGATAAACAAAAAGGAAAGTGTAAACATTATTGTGGGACATAGGGAGTATATATGATATAAAATTTTCATAACATTTGTTTTGGTAAACTATTGGAAAAACTTTTTGAAAAACTAGCTTTGCTTCATAAAAATGCATATCTATTCAACTTTGGTTATTTGATCATGTGTGTACAATTGCACATCTTTGGTTGGAAGTTGGAAGGAGATCTGTTTTTGTCATTTTTCTTGATTTCCAGTTTATACATTGCTGAAGATGTTATTTGAAAAATGGTTTTTTTGTTTCATTATTGTGGCCAATATATTACTGTATTTTAGTAGCTTGCAGACCCATCACTATAGTATCTTTGATCAATATAATAATCTCAACCTCTTAAGCGCTGGGGTGGGACTTGAACATTGGATGTGGAGAAGCTTGGGGTGGCTTCCTTGCCACTGTGCCCACTTGCTTCCACATTGTGGCTAGTAATCCTAGCATTAATAACCTGAGGTAGTAGTACTAAATACTAATGATAATAATCGTTTGTACGTATAGACTTTTCGGGTGCTACGATCCTAAGTCTAGAGGGAAAAAACCAAGATCGTACGTAAGGTCCCTAAGTAATCATTTGTATGAAAGCTATTTTTGGAAATTTTATATCTTTATTATGGTCCATGTGCTCTAATTTTTTTAGAGGTAGATGGTTGCAAATTGAACTACATAGCAGGAATGCGTCTCTCGGAGCTTCCATTTGGGCAAATAAAGGTCAGTTCTTTCTTAATATGCTGACAATAAACTCATACAAAGGGTAGTTTTCTTTTTATACTTCGGAGTATTATGATAATGTTAGTAATCTTCTTCTTGAAATAATACATGGCTGGATGTATTCTTTATTCAACCAACGTAATAGGGATACACGACTTGCTTGGATACTGGTATAAATTTAAACCACAATTCTTATAACTAATGAAGAATATGTAGCTCAACCCGGGACATTTACGCCCGATTTCTATGGAATTGAGGCAGCAAAATTTGCAGTTTCAAAAACCTAAAATCTAAATGCAAGTTATCAATCAAATTTATTGCAGACTTTCAAGATAGAGTTATATGATGCATGAATAATAAATAGTATGTTATACTCATGATTTGCTTGCAAGGAAGCAATGGGCCTGGCAATAAGGCATATTCTCAATCTTTTTTGTACAATTTGCTGTTTTTGCTAAGAGCTAAGGCTATGTTTGGTAACCAAGTAAACCAACCACATTCTGATTCTTTTGCTTACTAGCAAAGATAATAGAATATGTAACTTTTGACTTAGTTATTTGGCTGAAATGAATCTTAAATTATCAAACATTTGTCCTCTTCAGATTCATCTACTCCAACCAAATAAAAAAGGGCAGCCAGTGCACAAAGCATTCCCGCCCTGCGTGACTCCGAGAAAGAAGTACAAAGAAGCTTGAGCTGCTGAACAGGTACACTCATGAGAGTTCAATGGCTGCAAATGACTGTTGCAGGTTGGGGCAAAACCATGCTTCACCTTTACACTTTTTGGTAACTCAGAGCCGTCTCTAGGCCTAGGCAAATTAGGCATGTTCATGGGGCTCCCGATATTTTATGGTCCAATTTTTTTTTTGTAAAAACATGTGTTAAGTTCAATTTTAAAAGTTCATAATGACTTTTTAGATATATTGCAAAGTGGATGAATCTAGACATAGAGTATGTCTATATTCATTTATGTTTTAAAGTACTCCGTATATAAAAAGTGTTAGTATTTACGGAGTAGTTAATATGGAATGGAGGGATTACTCTATATTTATATATGTAAGACAAAGGTTCAAAGTTCAAAGATGCTGGATGTATAAATATGACAGACTTTTCTTAGAAATGATAAGTGTTGATCTTACTGAGTAAAGATAACTCGGTTTACAAGTCATTGACATAAGAGACAACTTGGTAGAGTTGGGAGATCAACCATTTGTTAAGAGCAAATCACAAGACTAAGGCTAAAGGGTGTGGATGAAAGTGGAAGGACGGGATGATGGGGGTGGAGTTGTCCCGAACGTAGGGATCGACAAGTGTTTTATGTTTTTAATGTGTCTTAAAATTGAAATTCAAATAAATAAAAATTCACACGTATTAAAACTTATGCCAAAGACATTATGGTGTATCGACATTACAGTGATTCTTCTAAATATGACGTCAGAACTTTGAATTCGAGTGGGACAATGATTCTATGTGTTTTAATATCTTAAGAAATAAGATCAGTTACTATATTGCAATATGATTATTAGCTAGCGTTCAATAAAATAAAATAAAAAGATTACAAAACTTATATACTCACTTCGTCCGAGTTACCATTTTTCTCATCATAATTTTTGTTTATTTGTGTTTTCATTGATTATTTGATAAAAAAGTACTACTATTTTTTATCACATCTTTTATAGGATAGAATTCTTGATGTATTTTTGAAATTTATAATTTTACATATTATTTTTATACCAATTTGTAAATTAAATAATTTAAAAAAACATAAAATTTTTCACGTTGTTCGAAGTGATGCGATATTTTTGAGACATGGGGAGTAATAGTGTAATACATTAGTATAAATATTTAATTTTGGATTTTTGACATGGAAAATTAATTTGTATTGCTCCTAAATACCTAAGCGATCATTTAGTTTTGTGGGTTTTCAAAAAAAAAATTAAATCAATTCGACACAAAATTCATCCTAAATAGGACTAAAATATAGAAAAGGTATAAAAGTATGATTTCCATATTTTTATCCTCTAAACAGGAGTATATTTTTAATATTTTCCATTTGACATCTGGTCACGAGTATGTGGTGGAACAGACAATGGGCGGAGGAGTTGAGTCAGGTTCATAACGCAAAGACTTCGGACTCGTTTGGTGAGTTTTAGAAATATGATATACATTTTAAAATTTATTAAAAAGGACAGTCTCTATAAATTTTGAAATCTAAAAATGAAATTCTTTGAAAAAATTTAAAATTATTACAATATTTATTTAGTGATATATAAAGGTGACCGACAAATATTGAACTTTCATATCGCTATCGCCCAAAATTGGAAAATATCAAAGCTATGAATTTGGAGAATTTGTGGTATGTGTCTAATTTGATTCTTTTTATCCTAAGCACATTTTTTTCTCTTTTCCTCTTTTTAAGTTTTTAAAACAAAACCTAAATCCCTAAACTTCACACTTGAGAGGCATCAACGCCCGCAGCCAGACTCCCCACAGAACGAGACGAACTTGCCTCCGTCGCTGCCGTGAGCCGCTTCGCCGTACACCATCAGAGCTCCGGCAGTACGCCTCCAGCCTCCTCCGTGTGCGCCGTTCCCGGTCTCCGTCTCCTAGACTACAACTCGCGACTGTCACTTTGCCAGGTTCTTTTTTTCTGTTTTCGAAGCCTAATTATCTTATACAATTACCAATGCTATTGATTTATTCAGGATGATATGTGAATTGTTGATTTGTGGATTTGTGAAGTATGAATTTATCATTTGAGATTAGGTTAATCTTCATATGTTTATACTACGTATTAAGATCTAGTTTTTTTAATTAAAACTAAGTTAGTTTATTAATTTTTTCAATTTAGACTTATTGATTTTCAATTAATTTTAGAATGTAACGCTAATTGTAACCTTTAATTTTATGAACTGTTATTTTTTTTTATTAATGCTCTACAAGTTTTCACCCAAAGTTTCTCTATACGCCCCTTCACACCCATATACACAAGTGAAGAGAACTTTCTTACTTCATCCGTTCTCTAATAAAATTCGTATTTTCTTTTTCGTTCGTCCCAGTGGATGGCTGACAAATCCAAAACCCCCCAAAACTACAAACCCTAGCATCAAAATTTTCCAGAAGACTCAGTTTTGTATGCAACAAATTGCCGATTGATCCCAAGTGGGGTTTGAATATGAGCCATAGCTGGGGAAAGCTTCCACGCTGCTCTATCAGCAGTATCTCCCGTAAGCAATCTTTCATTTCTTCTCCATTCTCAACTTCCGCCGGCGGCAGCGGTGGAGGATGGGGCCGGGGTCGTGGAGGTGGTGGATTTAGCTCTGGTAATTCCCCCGTCTTCGGATTTTCTCCTAACCAAAGTGAACCTGGCGATGCCAAGGACGAAGATTCGGCTTCCACACGGCAACTAAGTGGATTCGGGCATGGCCGTGGAAGCGGAAAGCCCTTATTTTCATTTGTGGGTGATTACAACGGCCCTGTTGGCCGTGGCCAAGGAATTTCTGGCCCCACTTCTGCACTACCACCACCACAACCATCCCAGCAGGTTCCGTTTCAACATAGGGAGTCCAATAAGCCTATGTTCTCTGAAAAAGAAGGCTTTCTCGACTCTCAGCCTAAAGTGTCTGTTGATTCCAACGATGCTCCCAGACTCCCTGCAAATATCCTCTCTGTGCTATCTGGTGTGGGTCGTGGAACGACCAAACAGACACCTCCTGTTCGTGAGAAACCTAAGGAAGAAAACAGGCATTTAAGGGCGAGACAAACTCCTCAATCCGGTGGAAACGAAGCCAGCAGGCGTCCTGGACAGGGGTTCAGCAGGGATGATCCAAATAATAGGTCCGTTTCGAGTGGTGGTGGTGATGGGAGTGGAAGAGGAGGAGTAGCTTCATGGAGGGGACGTGGTGGGTTCAGAGATAGAGGAAGAGGAGGAAGAAGAGGAGGAAGAGGAGGAAGAGGGAGGGGAGAAGGTACTCTACCGGAAGTGGTCCATGAGAAATTTGGTGGTGTATTTGACATTGGTGATGATGCTGCTACAGAGAAATTGGTTCAACAGTTTGGTCCTGATCTCGCCAGTCAATTAGCTGAAGGCGTTGAAGAATTTGCTCATAGGGTCTTTCCCTCTCCTGCTGAGGATGCTTACCTAGACGCCCTCGATACAAATTTAAAGGTATGTACGTTCTTGTTTGCCTGTTTTGTTTTAGCTGACAAAATTTCCGCAGTTTGTTTGGCATTTATATTGTTTTTGTTTTTCGGGCAGATTGAATGTGAAGAGGAGTACATGATGGGAGACTTTGACAGGAATCCAGATATTGACGAGAAGCCTCCAATCTCTCTGCGTGATGCTCTTGAGAAGATGAAGCCATTCCTCATGGCGTACGAAGGAATTGAAAGCCAAAAAGAGTGGGAGGTAGGTCCAGCTTAGTTTGCTTTGCATAGCTTTTTCGTGTTGTGCTCCAAATATCTTTAAGAATAATAATAATAATAATAATAATAATAATAATAATAATAATAATAATAATAATAATCATTTTTTGCTCTAGTGTGGGATCATGCTCTTATCTTCTTAATCCTGGTCACTGAAATTTGTTTTTGCTTTGCTTCATAATGTTGGGCTTTCTAAGATGTAAGTATTTTTTTCTATATTAGGGCAATGACCTGGTATTGCTGTGGCTTTGTAGACAGCACTCTTTGCTCCAAAAGGCTAAAGCTATTTTGGTAAAATAAAAACACATGCTGTAGATTGAGGGTTCCCTTAGTTCAAAGGGATGAAAGGAAAAGGGAGGAGAGGGATGGGAAGCCAATGTATAATGGTAGCTGAATTTCTTTTGTTGGAGAGGAGAGGGGAAGGGAATGGTATGTTGAGTTAAAATACTAGCTCCTTTAAAAAGCCCTGAAATCATAGGGGATCAAAATGTGAGGAGTGGAGGCAATGGCCCCCTCCCCACTCTCTTTGATAAATGTCAATCCAAACAAACCCTGAGTGGGTGTATTAAAAAAACTTGAAATCACCGTAATCAAAAGTTTCTTTCAAAGCACAATATTTGTCTCGGAAAATTATTCCTCTAGGAAGGCAGGTGTCCCATTTGTACTTGTGTTAGTTACCTAGTAACAAGAACAACAACAATTGATAATAAAACCCAGTAAATTCCCACACAAAGTAGGGTCTGGAGAGGGTGATTGTACACAAACCTTATCCTTACTTGAAAGTAGAGAGGGTGTTTCCAAGTGACCCCCAATTTAAATACAAAAATACAGGCAAACAAAATCACAGTAGCACTACGAAGTATGATTAAAGAGAATAGAGTGTGAAGTACACATACCAACCCAAACAACAAGGCTCAAAGCCTACAAGCACAAGCTACCGACTATAGAAAAAAGACACATACGGTCTTAAGTACAATAAAAGGCATAAAGACATGCCAACCAAGAAAATTAGAAAAGTGACCTAAGGCTCCCGGTTTTACCAACTACCAGATATCTCTAGAAGTTTTCTTCTCACAACATCCATGTATCAAATACTCTATGATCTACCAAACTTTTTTCCACATCATAGCTTAGCACTTTATATTTTCATCCACTTATGATTGTGTGAACAAAATATATGCTCTGCCATATACTGTTCGGTCTGTTCCTCTAGATTCTGTTTTTTTAAAATATTGGTATGGCATTATTGTTGTTGCCTTGTGGTGGTTATTAATACACAGGAAATAATGAAAGATACAATGGAGGTCAAGCTCCCGCTTCTTAAAGAGATAGTTGACCACTACAGTGGCCCTGACAGAGTAACTGCAAAGCAGCAGCACCAGGAGCTAAAAAGAGTTGCAGCAACTCTTCCACAGAGTATTCCTAATTCTGTGAAGCAGTTCACAGACCGTGCTGTTCAGTCACTGCAGGTTAATTTCTAAGCATTATTTTATTTCTTCCTGTTTTGAACATTCATCTGATTAATTACTTATAGGCTAACATAATGCTGGAGTAATTCTTTGGTTTATTTCTCTGATCACAAAGGCTATGTTTGGAACTTGTGATTTTGAATTAAATGTCTATTTTCTCCCAAATTTTATTTCCTTCCAAGTTTCAAATTCCATCTCTATTTTCTTTTCTCCAAACATGAAACTCCTCCTTAAGATAAATAGTGAGAGTTAAGCATATACTCCTTCCATTCCTATATAGTGTTCTTGATTCGGTTTACGATGTTTGATAAAAGTTATTTAAATTTGTTTTAGATTTAAAAAATAGAATCCTATTTCTAAAAACTACATAAAAAAATACACCAAAACAATAAGTGACTAGATGTTTTATTTTATCAAATGGTCAATCAAAATATCTTAGCATAGACGACATAGTCTGGCCCTCTAAATTTTTGGAACTCTAATGTGGCACCGAGGTTGTACTATTTTATAAGAACATTTATGTTTATACATAAGAAAACACCTTTAGAGGGCGGCTTGGTATTAATGCGGAGAATACATTTGTCCTTTTTACTATTGCCAACATCTTTGACGGTTGACCACAAAAACCCTTCACAGGGGGAGAATGATATTTAACAGGGAAATACATATGAAAAACATCTCTATGAATTTGGTTGAATGAAGCTGTAAAAAGAAGGCATATTGTGGCTTGAGTTGATATTTTATGGGATTTCTTCTACTGCACTCATTGAAATTGGAAGTGCTGAAACTATTGGAGTTTTAATTTATTCTAAATTCATACTAATGTTCTTCAACTTTTGATTTGAAAAAGTATTTTCTCAGTTACTCTGATGTGCTTCTCTGTATTTGCTTTTATACAAGATGCTAACCTTTTCAATCCATTAACTAGGAGAGAACACATATGCATTTGACATTCATATATATATATATATATATATATATATATAAAATTTATATTTATTAATATCATTATTACCTAATGCAGAGCAACCCTGGGTGGGGGTTCCACAATAAATGTCAGTTCATGGATAAGCTTGCATACGAGGTTACTCGGCAATACAAGTGAAATGAAATGTGAGAACCATACAAATTACGAATAATATTTCTCATGAAAAGATCACTTGAGGCAAAATTTGCTTAGGTATGCCACAATTCACTTCATAGCAGCTGCTTCTTCAGTTTATGTTTCCTTTGTCAGATAACCAAAATTTTATCCTTTTAGAATGACAAGCTTTCTTGGAATTCCAGGTCGAAGATTTTAGGCTTTTTATTTATTTTTGTTTTGAAAATGAGGCAGCATTAGAAGGGTAGCAGTGAACCAAGTTCACGAAGTTCTTGGCACGGTCCATAATGATGTGGCCATGGTCATGGAATTGCAATATACTACACAGGTTTTGTGCTTGATTCATTGCCTCTCTTTTTTGTTGCCATATTTGCATGACTCATTTTTGTTGGCCTTTTTAAAGGGGCATTAATATGATGCAATATTTCACCTTGACACACTTCATCGTGCGTACGTTCTCAGACACCAATAAATTTTCAAGCTTTTTTGCCCTTTATCTCGGACCATACTTTTTGTGGAATTTTACTGGATCTATTGTTGCTCTTTTACCCTTCAAACAAATGTATTGGCACACTTGTAAATGCTTGTTTGTTATGTTTCTCTTTGAAGCAATGTTTGTCATTAGCATTACAATAATTTTTTAATCCTGTAAATTAACCTTAAAGCTGAACTCTCAAGGAAATGTTGTGTTTTCGACCACTTTTTCAAATGAATGAACAATTTATGAAATTTCGTCCAAATGTTTCTTTTTCATGTAGAAACATGTGAATTTTCAGGCCGGAAAGTCTATCCAGCAACATTCGTTAAAATTTTGGTTTCGAATCCTTGGGATTATCATCATGTTTGGCCATTTTTGCCCAAATGTTTCTTTTTGCATTTGGAAACTTGTAAAACTTTTAGGACTAAAAGACTTGTTTTTAGAGAGCACTAATTTAAACATTTAATTTGGAGGCTCTAGGGGTACAAACCCCCCTTTTTGGGTAAAAAATCTACGAAAGTTTGGTACAAATGCTTCACTTAGCATTCAAAGAATGTGGTTAATTTAAAGTATGAAAGACTTCTCTATAAATAGCTCTATTCATTTAAATTTTTTATTATGACCTCATAGAGGTACTATAATGCTTTTTAATCCAAAACATTGCAAAATTTGGGCTATGTTTTCCTTTTTTTCCATGTAAAACTAGTTGTACGGTTTTTTAAGTATTAAAAGACATGTTAATAGAAGAGAATACTCTTTTAAAATTTTTGTTTTGGGTCTTAAAGAGGTACACGACTACGTTTTTTTTGCTAATTTTTTAAATAAATAAAAAACATTACAAGATTTACTCCAAATGTTCCTTTGTGCAAGTATAAACATATGGTAAAGTGTTTTACATTTGAAATATTGTACTCTTAATAAGCTACATTCATTTAAAATTTTGTTTTCGAATCTTATAGGACACGATTTTTCTTCCATTTTTTTCAAATGAATCAAAAGCTCACCAAAATAGGTCTAATTATTATGTTTTTCATGTTGAAACAAGTGAAAAATTAAAGAAGATAAACATTGAAAATATAGAAGGGAACAGACTAAATACTGAAAATATATTAAAATACAATTTTCATGTTTTTTATTTTTGAAATATGAGTTAAATGCATATATGGTACCAATCATGACCATATACATTACCAAAAAAATTGAAATGCCCGTACACATTGAAACTCCTATTTTTGAAATAAAATTATAAAATTTCTATTTCAATAGTTTCTTTATGTTTTACTGCCATTTAGATTGATTTTTTTAAATAGAAAATAGCAATCATTTCTGTAAGTTTTTAGATGCATAAAAAACTCACAATTTGGTCGAAATGTTTTTTTTGCATGTAGAAAAATGTTGTATAATTTCAGGCTTGAAAAAATTGTCTAAATCAAGCTACACGTTCAATTTTTTTACTGCAAGCCCTACCCTAGTGTTTTCTCAGCTTATTTTCTAATTTAAAAAAAAAAACTCACAAAACATAGGCTCAAATGCTTGTCTATAGAGAGCAACACCTTTTTTTAAAATTTTTTTAATTTCAAGGTCATAGAGTACTAAAGTTTTTTTGGCCAATTTTTTAGGTGGATAAAAAACCCATGAAGTTTTTCCCACTAGAATTTTTAAAGTGGGCAGTGAGCTCCAACCATTCAACCAATTTTTCAAATAGATCAAAAGTTCTAGAAATATGGCCCAAACATTTGCTTTTCATGTAGAAAGTAGTGCTAAAAGTTTAAGAGTGTGTTCTATTTGTCTAATCTGATCTGATATGATTCAAATAATATTTAAAAGAATTTTTCAAAAATAAGTGTATACCATTATTTACAACATGCACACAGTATCCTGTGGTAAAAGGCGAAAGAATAACTCTCTCTGTGCATGTGGTGTGGTCCCGTGGCTGCATAAAAAAAATTATATTTGAAATTATTTATGAATATTCTAATAAAAATACATTGGAAAAAAGTTTGTTAATTGTTTCCATAGAGAACCCTCCATCAACATAGATGAATAAACTGTAAACATTTGGTCCAAGTTTTGAGTTTTTACTTTTTAATGTCGTTTTTTTGCATGTAGAAACATATGACAGATTGACAGCATCAACATTTTGATTTTCTGACCTCGTAGGAGTATCATCACATTTTGTTTTTGGTGAATTTTGAAAATGGATTAGAAAAAAAAACTCACAAAACATGGCCAAAATATTCTTTTTTGCATGTTGAAACATATGGTAAATTTTCAAGACTAAAAAGACTTGTCTAGACCTGTCTATAGAGAGAAAAAACTCAATTTGAAAATTTACGAAATTCATAGCAAATATTCCCAGTAAATTTTCAAATTTAAAAGACCCATCGATAAAGAGCACAACAACAATAAAGTCTTATCCCACAAGGTGGGGTCGGCTACATGGATCAAACGTCGCCATTGCGCCATATCATGTATCATACCTGCAATGGTATCATTCACGCGAAGGTCTAGCTTTACCACTTCTTAAAATATTGATTTAGATACTCTTTGGGGGGGGGGGGGCATTTATGAACCTAGGGCCCCAATTTTTTAGCACCCTGAATCTTAAAAAACATATAATAAGTGCGTCATATATTGATAAATCTTAGCCAAAGATCCAAAGTTCAAAAAATTCCAACCTCGTTCAAGTCGCAGATATCACGCTAACCAAATACTCCGTATTATCGGTCATTGCCTATCTCACCCCCAGTTAGAAAGACCTCTAATTGATTTGCTCTCCGAGGCCACAGAAAAGGGTACCTACAAAGACGATGCCGAGTAGAGGACCACCAGATGGTCTCTTCTACTTCTTGTTCATAGTTGCAGACAAGCAGCAGTTCCAGAATATAGAGGCCATCGACATGAAAGCAACTCGAGCTTGAAGAGGGACTGCCCTGAAATATTCTCAAACAGTTCCCAAAAGCACATTATATTCACATTTGATGACCATTTCTTTACAAGAAAGTTATAGACTCAGGCAAAGTTATAGACTCAGGCAAAGTAGTTAAACACCAACTTTACTTCAGTTTCCTACAAGGATGTAATTTCCAATTACCAGAGTGATCTTAACCCAAAACAAGGTGCCTTATACCAAAGTAATATGATAATTCCTCAACCAAACACCCCCTAAGAGGTCTCAATGATGATAAAAAATTGTAAATGTCTAGTTGGAGACATACCAGAAGTTCAAAACACTGACAGGGATCCAGAACCTAAATCCTGTACACAATCAGGGGAAAACAGGTGTTATTCTTTGTGGGGGTGTCTGTCAAAAAAAGTGGCAAAAAGGAAGCAGGAAAGTGATATTATAAATACCAAAAAGAAGAGTGGGAAGGGCGTCTCTGCGATACTTATTCGGAAGCTCGGAGAGTTTCCCTAACCATAAATTGTTCCATGCAAAAACAACCGCAATCACACATGGACCGAGAACAACTTGATTAAGCAAAACCTGCAACCAAGAACCGTTCTCGCCTATGACATACAAGCATTCACTTATGATATTCCTACTCCCAGAGAAGTAAGAGTTAATTTAAAATAACAAGAAGCATAATGCACCTTCATGAACAAATTCTGAGCTGATGGCTTCGGCATGCAATGATCAAGATACTTGTACCACGAAAACGTAGCAGGTCCATATAGCAAGAACCCATATGAAGTCATCCGGAGAGCTCGGAGCCAATCATGCTCAGAAAGCAGAACTCCCGCGACATCCTATCACACCAGGTGTTCGATTTTAGGGCGAGAATAGTTTGCTTTTTAATCTAAACCAGAAAATGCATGTAAGAAGGCACTGGCAAAAGGGAACTAAGATAAGAGCATAACACAGGTGGTCATATTCAAATGATTAGAACAAGAAACTGAAGAACTGGATCCATGGTCCATGCTATTACAAGCAAGGTTGTTGAATTCATATTTTTGAACCTAATATTTCAACTTCATTTTAAAAGGCACCCCCAAAGTTTTCTGAAAATTCAGATAGTATTAGGGTAAGTCAATGGTGCAACATATAGTGGGTGTTTCTCTGTGCATATAAGCTTGTCAAAATTGCTTATAAGCAGTTTTTAACTTATAAGTGAGCTGATGACATGTTTTTGTGTGCTTATAAGCCAGAAAAAATAAGCAGGTCTTATATATCATTTAAGTTATTTTACTTCCATAGAAGAATATTTGACCTACAAGCAGTTTATAAGTTAAAAGCTATTTATCAGGAATAAACCAGCCAATAAGCACCCGCACAGAGAAACACCCCCATAGTTACTAATCAAACTCCCATTCCTAGTTACATTAACAAATGCTTTCTGTATCCTTGTTTTGAATAAAAATGGAACAAAATCCCCACAAATACCATGATTGAATATGCCTATGTTTTGTGGGACTTATATTCTTCCAAGTCAGAGAAAAGTAAGTGTCTAAGACAATGTCAGTGATTTGAGCATGATTGGCTATTTTGAGCTAAATGCAACAAAAATTCTTACAAATACCATTTCAAAGCATCATCAATTTCACTCATCTAAGTTTTTTTTTTAAAAAAAATCACTCATCTAAGAACTGAAATAGAAATGGGAATAAAAATCAATGTCAATTATTTGAGCACCAGGATTCGCTTTTACCAATAAAAAACGGTTTCAGACCTGCAACTGCGGATGTTTCGGAAGAACGTCCTTGCTCCTCACCCACCGATCTCGGAGCTGAGCGACGGTGTCTCCGGTGAGAGCGAGAGATCCGGCAGTGAAGGCTTGTTTGGAGGGGAAGCGGTAGCCGGCGCCGTGAGTCGCATCGAGGGAGTTGGAGCCGGCGGCGCCGGATTCTCCGTTCCGGACGTCCTTCTCTCCTCCTCCGCCTCTTCTTCTTCGATTCCAGTCCCGGGAATGGGGAGATCCCATTCCCCAAAAACTCCCATTGCCGCCGTTCAATATGCTCATTCCCTGTTGCTACACCCGGGACGGACACTTTTCTTTTTTTTTGAAGATATGGAGTACTTCCACCCTCATTATTCACCGGCCCATCCCAACATTATTTTTAATTTAATTTATTACTAAGAAAATGTAGTAAAATTAAAAAATAAACTTTACATAATAAAAAAGTATATCAAAAACTCTATGGAATTAGATATGACACGAATATATTATTTTATAAAATACGTAACAAGAATAGAGAAAAAAAAATTGATCATGTAAATAGTAACAATTAATTTAATTTGGCCGGAGTGAGTAAGAAATAACTCATTTTACTGACTTATTTTTACTAATCATTTCATAAATTTATAGTCTTATAATCTCTGGTTTTGTAAAAATGTTAATATACTTTTTTAGTATAGAAATTTTATTTTTAAATTTTGTATCTAAAATCAAATAAATTAAATCAAGAATAAAATATGTCATCCTTCCTAACACATAATAATAAGAAGATATATGAAAGACAGAAAGAGTACAATGATACCATCTCGACTGAAAAAAAGTCAAAAAAAAAATAGAAGTATTACAAGTGTGACCCCATTTTTGACATCAATGCTTTTACCGATGCCAGAGACAAAGAATACTTTTCGGTGTCTATAATATTTGTAAGGATATTGACTATTGAGATCAATATTGGGGTACCCCAAGTATGACTAAAAAATTTTGTTTTTCGAAAGAATTTCTTGCTCTTTCCTATAAGAAAAACATCAACTACGTTTTTTACTAAGAGTTTGACACTAAAAAATTTGTAGATATATAAATATAAAGAAAAATGCTAGGGGTACACACTTTTTATTTATTTAATTTTTTAAAAATTCTTGCCCATTTTTGTGGTAATGGAGGGGGTGAGGGACAAATGGGTGGTGGAGAAGGATGTGGGGGACAAATGGGGTACACCAAAGGTGTACCCCTAGCATTGCTCAAATACAAACTATTCGTGAAATATTTGATATCAAATATTTAGTATCAAATCTGGCGGGATTCTAACATTTAGAAAAAAAACTTTTATTGAACATTTATGTTTGCTTTTGGTGTAAAAATGGGTCGCAAAGTTTCTCTTGACCTTTGCTAAAATTAATATGTATGGAGCAGTCAATTTTTTATAACACCTCAAGATTCATAGATTAGCACCAAACAAACAAAGACAACTGAGATACAAGGCCTCATCAGCCCCTAAGCTCCATACATCTACTCTTGAGTCTTGCCTTCTGTCTTTCCTATTGCATAGGTAGTCATATCAAACCCAATCCAATAGGCTCTCTTTAGCACACGGAATTGATTCCAATTATGCTGTTTGGTAGTACAAAAATATGCAAAAATAAAATGGAATTCGAATCCCAAAATTTTCAATTTCATATTTTAAATCCCATAACCTTAAAGTAATCTTCATCATTAGAAATCTTCTTCATATGAATCTTCGCATTCCTGAATTCCTATATAACATCACAAGCTGCTGCAAAGGACCCAACAATAAACAATCTCTCTATTGTGTTTGAGATGATCATAATTTTCACTTTGATCTCTTTAACTCCATTACCTGTCATACCCAATTAAGCTGAGACCCTCTATACAACATGGGTGGCTTGGGGCATGGTTGTAAATCCTCGGGACAGGTCTTGCTATAGAACAACCATAGTGAAAGGACATAAACTAAATAGATGGTCATCATGATTGTAAATCCTCGTGTTTGAATGTAGTACTCATCTTATTAATACCCCTATATGTATGCCATTCTTGTTATTCCCAAACTTTAAAAAACCACATTATTTAAATATATTAACAAAGAGTTATTTAAAAAAATATTAAAGTATTTTTCAGCAAAAATATTATAGTGTGATTTTTATTAGGTGTATTTTAATTTATTGTATACTTATATGTATTGTTGAAAAATGGAGGGAGTAAATTTTGAAAATAAAATGTTTTTGTTCGAGACCAAGGTTTCAGGGAGTGTGGTTAGTGGGCTAAGGTTCCGGAGTGAACTAAAAAAAAACAAGCCGGCACATTGGAAATTAAGGCTACAAAATACCCCATACATAACTAGAGGTATTAAGGCTGCGATCATAGAAACCAAGAGGATTTTGTGTGTGCTAGTGTTTATTGGCCTATTACTGATCAGGAATTTTTAACTTATAAGCTTCTTATAAGTTAAATATTCTTTCATGGATGTAAAATGACTTAAATGATAGAAAAATCATTTGTAAATATTCATACATGGTGAGGGACAGCTTTGTTAATAATTTGGTCAAAACGGAGAAACAAAAAAACTACTTTAAAAATAAGTAGTTAAGAGCCATTTATTTTTGATAGCTTATAAGCAGCTTATAAATCAGCTTTTAAACACATAGAAACATGTTATCAACTGACTTATAAGTTAAAAATGGCATGTAATCAATTTTGTCCAGCTTATAAGCACAGAGAAACACCACTAAGTGTATGTGTTTGCGTGGTGCACAATGCTATACTTCATGTGTAAACTTTAATGATCCTAACTTTCTACGTAATGCTCAAGAAGGAGGTTGGAACATTAAGCTTAAATTCTAGCCTCTGAACTTAACTTTCAGAATGTAAATTTTAGGTTTGTAGGAATAGACAGATTTAGTTTTGGAAAAGAAAGGTTTTTTTTACAAGAGATATTTTGAGACGAATAGAATTTCAACTAAAACAAGAAAATGATTCAAAACTTGTTTTTTTCGTCTGTTCCAAAACAAAATTTGTACTTCACTTCTTTTGTTTAAGAATAAAATATGTGACTCTTAACAACGCTTTCTCTTCCAAACAAATTTTCACCATACACTTTTTACGTTTCAATATTTGTTCTTAAATTCAGTGAAATAAAACCATGATTTATTATACGAAGTATTTGGGTAGGAAGGAAATACTGCAGTATATTGTTTCCAAATGGTGGAAACTTAGAAGTCATTTCTTGATGAAAAGCAAATTATTCTTAACCTTTTACATTTGGCTTTGTTTGTTTAAACACAGGACTGCTGCTTTAGCACCAATGAAGCAAAGAATCGCAATTTGCAAATCAAATAACTCCAAATTGACGTTAACCCAGGGTGCTCTTTTACACTTCCTCAATTCTTTTTTTTTTGTTTAATTCTTTTAAAAACAGAGTGATAATTTGGCCTGTTTGGGAATAGCGTTTGATATTAGCTTTAGCGTTTTGGATAGAATTTTAACGGTTCAGATTACTTTGAAAACGCTAACGCTAAACGCTAGCCGTAGATAGCATTTTCAAAACGCTAACGCTAATCTCTGACGCTATTCCCAAACATGCCCATTACTGTGTTGGGAAAAAAAGGTAAACACTATTATTCCGTAATATTTGTGTGCATTAAAGATAAAAAAAACTAAAGCATTAATCATGCTTCATAGTTCTTACTTGAGGGAAAACCAAACTCGTGAAAATGGCACTTCTTAAGGCTCCCCCTTAGTACAGTTCAATTTAGTTGAACACGAATTTCAAAAATTATACAAATTTCATTCCAAAGAACAAAATGTACGAAAAATGATACCGAGTACCACTTATATCACAAATGATTTTCAAGTTCTAACTGAAATCTAATATCTAGGGTCTGGTAACTAAATTTTGAAACATATATTAAGAACATGTTCTTTTCATCTTAATTTTAAGTAGAGGCTAAAATCAGGATAACTAGAATATAAAGTTGAAAACAATAGATCCTAGATATACTATAAAACCAAAGAAAATTGTTAACTCCAACAAAATAACTAGAAACTGAGGATAATAGGAATATGATCTTGAATACTCTAAATTAGAAAACTGTAATTTATAAAAAGTTAAAAGAACATGGCCATCTTCACACTTAACCATCCAAGAACCAACTGTGGGCCCTAACTACCCATATAAAATCAGAACATGGCCATCTTCACACTCTATGCTCTCCATCTTTATGCTCTGAATAATTACTGCCAACCATGGAAGACTACAGAATTGAGGAAACAGCTCCTTCTCCCAACAAAGCTTCCCCTCAACTGAATTGCAAAAGTATACATACCCTCCCTGTATTTTTTTCTTTTAAATATTACTAGTAATGATAATTTGACACTGGACTCTAGTGACATACTATGACACTGGCCTTTACGATGCTCCGTTGAGTCTGAAAGTTGTTCATAACCCCTCTACCCTTAGCCCTTATTACAAATCAACGAATCCAGAGGGGGGGGGGGGTTAAGGGAGTATGAACAATTTTTGGGCCCAATGGAACCCCGCAAAGAACCGTGACAGTAATGCTTGAATTTGCAATGTTTACTTCATTGTTTTTTGTGTTCCTAGCTTGAATGTTTGTCAAGTCTAACACAATACTGTTTTCTCTGTCGGTGGTGTTTTAGTATTGTATGTTAGTGGTTTTCGTGGAACCAGTTTTCATGCTTTCAACAATGATGCTGCTGCACCTGCATCTGATGAAACTCATGTCCGAACCCTTAATACTCCGCGGACATATGTTGCTTCTGGTGAAAGTCTTGGCGGAAATGATAATACTCCGCCAAATGTTGCTTCTGCAGGTGGCATAAATAATGCCACGAAAAACGAAGACGACATCAGGAGCAATAGGACATTGTACGATGATGCAGTACAAGGAGACTTAGAGGTGACAGAAAGGTTGGTTAAGGAGGACAACAAAGTGTGCATATATCCACTGAACGATAAGCTTCAAAACGTGTTTCATATCATTTCCAAGAGAGAAGAAGAGGAAGAAGACGAGAGGGTCGTGGAGAAACTGGAAAACATTGTAAGGAACATGAGTGTGGATGATCTCGGGAAGAAAGACGGGGATGGCCGAACCGCCCTCCACGTGACTGCCCTGTATGGGAACACTAAGATGGCCCAAGTGTTTATTAGAAAGAATTGTCGTCTCCTTTTCGTGAGCGATGGCCACCACGATCTCCCTGTCCATTTGGCTGCCCGGAATATCCGCCAGAGCGAGGCCGTTTATACCTTCTTCTTTAATGTCACTCGTCAGAAATGCGAGGAGGTGCAGGTGCCTACAGCTAATCCATTTGAACTCTCAAGTGCCATGCAGCTCTTTTGCTACTTGATTGGATCTAAATTCTATGGTACGTTTTTTTCTCTCAATATATACTCTCATTTGTATCTCCCTATTTTTTCTTGGAACCGGATTTAATGTAAGATGAAAAGTTGTTTGATCTTTTGTCCTTGTTTTTTACCTTAACTAAAGAGAAATGTAAAAAGATGAATAGTATAAGGTGAATATTGTAAAAAAAAGAAGGTAAAGTCAGATGGGTAAAAATGAGA